ATGAAGAGATTGAATGTGGTGATTATTTAGGAGATTTAACGAATGAAATTGCTAAAGACGGTAAATGTACTGAATTTGCTGCTTTAGGCCCTAAAAATTATGGTTATACAGTTGAATATTTAGATGGATCTATCAAGTCTCAAATGAAATGTAAAGGCATTTCTTTAACTTATTTAGCTAAACAAAGTATAGATTTTGAAAACATGATTCAAATGGCATTAAATCATGACGAAATCAAACATATTCCACAACGTCAATTTGATTTAAGTAAACATCATCAGATTACTACTAGATATTTTGATAAACAGTATAGAGTTACTTCAGATAAACGATTTATTAAAGACAGCCTAACATTTCCATATGGTTATAAGTTCCAATGAGCACACATTGGAATATTAATTTGAATAAGCAGAAGTTGTGCCCTGCCCTGTCCTTTGCACACACATTGGACTTGTATAGAAATTAAATGCAGCAGTTGTGCCCTGCCTCTCCAGTAACGTCAACTGGAGAAGGGAGTTGATCCCTTAAATTCCTAGATTACATACTCTAGAAGATGGAAGTGACGTCCATAATTAAGCCTCAGTAACGTCAGCTGATACAACACGTGGGGATGACATTTATATACATACTTTTGGATCTCCCGTGTGAGATCTTCTACCTTCACTGCAGATATATTTATTCCCTGAACATAGGGAAACATACCGTAATTGTAAGTTTACATATTATTGCCATATTTGGCAATATGCTATGCTATCATGGAATCATTACAATTACCTTACACACGATTGGTAGACCTGAAACGGATTGGTAGACCTGAGACGGATTGGTAGACCTGAGACGGGATTAGTCAACCTCAGACGCACCTGTCATAATTTGATCACTAAATTCCTAACTCGCGTCATTCGTTCGTTGGATCTCGTGGAGTGCAGTTCTCTTTTTACTATTGTGCTCTACTGTGATTGTGCTCTATTGTGCGTTAGCCAACCAAGACTTAGTTAATCAACGGAAGCTTACCAAGACAACAAATTGGACTTCAAGTCGGGCGTTTAAAGTTCATGATGGCTTCCTGGACGTATAATTACTTGGGCGTATAAAATCAGCAATGGCTACCTGGCTTATAACATTCAAGATGGCGGAATGGGCCTATTTTTATGGGTCTAAAAAATCCAACATGGCAGACTGGGCGCATAAAAATGGGTCTATAAAATTAAGATGGCCGACTGGGCGTATAAAATCCAAGATGGCCGACTGGGCGTATAAAACCCAAGATGGCGAGGTCGGTATACAGACCGGTATCCTACTTAATTTTCATTTATTAATAATAAATTATTATTTTAATGTTAATAGTTGTTTGAATTCTTTGAAATATTATCATATTTTGCTTTCAATAAAATCAATTTAAACACACAAATATAAACATTACATTAATACTTAGTAATGTTAATGGAATGTGTGCTAACCATCTGGACTTTGCCTAACCATCTGGACTCTGCCTAACCATCTGGACTCTGCCCTAATCAGTTGGAGTCTGCGTGGACAGTATTAAACTAGTGATTTATACTTATTCACGTCATTCATTGGTTGGATCTCGTGCTGTGCAGTTGTTTTTATTATTGTGCTCTATTGTGATTGTGCGTTAGCCAACCAAGACTTAGTTAATCAACGGAAGCTTACCAAGACTTCAAATTGGACTTCAAGTCGGGCGTTTAAAGTTCATGATGGCTTCCTGGACGTATAATTACTTGGGCGTATAAAATCAGCAATGGCTACTTGGGCTTATAACATTCAAGATGGCGGAATGGGCCTATTTTTATGGGTCTAAAAAATCCAACATGGTAGACTGGGCGTATAATATTGGGTTCATAAAATCCAACATGGCCGACTGGGCGTATAAAATCCAAGATGGCGGACTGGGTTCATAAAATCCATCATGGCGGCGGTCCTTATACAGACCGGTATCCTACTTTCAAAGTATGATTTCTAATTGAAAGTGTGAAATAATTTTTATTAATAACTAATTAATATAATTAATCAAAGAATTCCTTGAAAAGTGGTCTATAATATTGGAGTGAATTTTCTTTAATATCCATTCTTTCCATTTCACTAACAATTTTGAATTCATTTAATATAATCATTAGATTCTGTAGTCTTGTCTGTGATTCCCATTTTGACCGGTATTTCAATAGTAGATATCTTTGCAGTAAATATATATACAGTTGTTGTTCGAGTCTAACATACAATTGAAATTAAAAAATAATTTGCATAATAATTACATTTATACATGATACATGACAATACATTAATGTAATAAATGCATACTTTATAGCAGTTGTATGCGATATGTTTGGCACATTTGGGTTGAAAAGTGAGATCGCTGTTAACTATATTCAATAAAACACAAGAATAACATTAATTAAATATTAATTATTAAATGACCATAATTTATAATTATAAAAACCAGTTCCATAATAATGGGATCCATTTGCCAAACGGATAGTGTTTTATTCAAAATTTTTTTAACAGCATTATATAATCCAGCATGGTCTTTGGAAATATCATCCAATTTAAAGCACATGCAATATTTTGGGTCCTAATAAGTATAAAATAAACATGGTAGAGAGAGAGAGAGAGAGAGAGAGAGAGAGAGAGAGAATATAAAATAAACATGGTAGAGAGAGAGAGAGAGAGAGAGAGAGAGAGAGAGAATGTGTGAAATGATATACCAACGGAAAAATATAAGTTTGTGTTTCAGTATTCAAATACATTAAAGTCCGCAAAAAAGTAATGTCCAAGAATTGACTCTTCATAAGCAAATACTGATCACTTTTGCATATATTTTTAAAACCATTTATATATTTAATAAATGATACAAAGTTTTGAACGTGTGTTTCTGTGGCCGGGGCTGCCATTCGGATTAAATGGTCCTTATTTTGAACAACTATTACATTATCAGCGATCGTATAGTTTATAATATTGGATGCATTCAATAACTCCTGCATACGTTTTGTCTCCAATTGATTCAAACCGTTATAATTTATCAACTCTTTGAATACGGAAATCAATGGTAATGGCATTGAGTTTTGTATTATATTTTCATCAATTGTCTCCTCATTAGTAAAATCATTGTTTAATGTGTTTTCAATTTCCAGTATCTGTTTATTCAATGCTTTATCCGTTATATAGAATGTGCTGTCAATCAGATTATCGACTTTTTGGCCAACGGTTTGGTCTAAGATTTTAATGTCGTTTGAGTCCAAGTCTAATATATTGTGTACAAAATTTGTTTAAATACTTTGTTTAGATTTTTGCTTATTTTCTGCAATCAATTGTCGTCTTCTCTTATTTTCTTCATCTGAATTCATTATTTCTTGAAATGAATAAAAATAAGTATTTTTAACAATTAATTCAATGATACAAATAAAATGATGATTACTTTTCTCATTCCAACCACAAAACACTTATTAAGTCTACATTTTTGGCAATACTTTTGTATTGGGAGTGATATTACATTTGCTTTTAAAACCGCATTTTAATTGCTATTTAAATAAATTAATTAAAATTATATTCAATTATTGTTTTTATAACAAACATTTTCTTTGAATGCAATTCTCCGGAAAAATGTTTTACACGAATCGCAAGTAATTGCTGTGAAATGTCAGCCTAAATACGGGGTAAATATTATATGAATTAATTATAAACATTAAATTTCATCACAAAATACATACCAATAGTTTTAGTTCCGCCACAAATCATACAAACAATTTTTGTATTATTATTGGCATTTATTTTGCTATTATAATATAGTAAAATTTAATACAATATTCAATTTATTGAATTGTGAATATTTTAAAATGATAAAATATAAAATACTTGTAAATGTTTGGCAATTCTTAGAAATAAAAGTACAAAATATGGTCATAAAAATAATACACAAGAAATAGTTGTCAAACCATTAGATAAGTTATGATTATATGGTATAACTTATAATATAAATATACTGTATCTGTATTAGTTGCCTAACAACTGGTTTATAAATCTTGTAATTATTACATTTATCAATATTTTAATTATTATACACGTTCTATTGTAATACATATTCATTATAATCTAACATTCAGATCATTATTGCTGTAAAGAACATTTTGAAACAGAAGCCATTGATTATTGTTTAAAATTTCATACAATTTTTGACATTATTTAATTAAATATCACAAAAAAGTGAGTAATACTTGAGTACATGCAGAACACGGTGCAAAATTCGAGTGCAGTGACGGGTCAGGTCTCTACGGAGACCAATATCTCTCAGATAATTACCACTTCTGAACCGATGAGTAATGAGAAAAGAATGAACTTTGAAGAGGAGAGGACTCGACTGTACGCCCAATTGAATGAAAAGGACGACGAGATCGACAAATACAGTCAGCAGTTGGAGAAACTTAAGCAACAAGTGGTAGAACAGGAAGAGTTGATCGCCTCTTCTCGACGAGACAACGAACGCCTCCAACAGGAAAACGAATCCGCAAATAAAGAGGTGACACAAGTTCTGCAAGCGTTGCAGGAATTGGCCGTCAATTATGACCAGAAATCACAAGAAGTTGAATCACGAAATCGAGAGTTTGACACTTTGAGTGAAGCTCTAGACGCAAAGTTAAGCGCAATGAATATCTTTCGATCGGAATCAACGCAAATGAAGGAACAAAGTCTCCTACAGAGGAACCGACTCAACCCAATGCTCACACATTTAATGAAAGATTTAGGAGAAGTGGGTATTATTTTAGGGGCTAATTCGAGCTCTAGTATCGGCGAACTCAAAATGGCCGGAGATTGCAATAAAATAGAAGACGAATTCACTGTCGCCCGACTATACATCAGTCAAATAAAGAGTGAGGTCAAGGCAATGACTTTGGTATGCATTTATTGTGGTAATATTTGTGGACAATATTTGATGATTTGTTTTTGTGTTAATACTTACAGCGAACGCAACACATGGAATGCCTTCAGACGACTTGCAATAAAAAGATTGAATCGTACGAAAAAGATTTGGCCGAAAGTAAGCTTCTTATCAGTGAATACGAAGCGAAGATGAAGTGCTTACAAGAGTCGATGCGTGACATCGAGAACACGAAGCATTCGCTCAAAGAAGCTGTGGATCATCTGAACGAAGAGTGCACTAAACTTAAAGCGGCCGAAGGGTTGCGTGACGTGACCACCAAAGAGAAGCAAAAAGAAAAGGATTCGATCGAGAAGATGAAGAAAGCGTTGGAACAACAGATTGAGAAACACCGGGAAAACCATATAAAACACTTGTCAGCGCTCAGGGATGAGATCGCAGAGAAACAGTCAATCATTGATCAGTTAACAGAAGCGAATCAAAAGCTGACATTAGCTCAGGAGGGTCTTCAACTCGAAACCAACAAACTCAAGTAACTCACTGAGTATCATAATGTGCTAAAAACAACATTACTGTGTTATAATTTATCAATTATTTTGTTGCAAAAATTTACTTATTTTAATTAAATAAACGCACGTTTTTGATAATTCATATAAATGTTTGTATTTTTGTTTAGATTAATTTTTTAGGCATATCTTACTAATCATACAATAGTTATTTCAGGTTTAAAATGAGTGTTACAAATAATGAAAATTGTTAATAGTGTTGATAAAAGTGTTTACGATTGAAAAGTTGGTGATAAAGATGTTGTCATATCTGAATATCGATGAGTTGAGTGGTTTGAAAACAGTTTTAGACTTAATACATTTTTTGTTACAAGCACATATTTATTTAACAATATTGAAAAATACAACATGTTAAAATATATAAAGTATTTATTTAATAAAATATTATAATAAAGTTAGTAAAATCTCATTTATAATTTTTATTAATTATATACATGTATTTAATTAATACTTGAATTATATAATAAATTATTATAATTTTAACAACATTATAAATATTAATTATGTTAAAAAAAGTTAATTTAAAACTTATAGCTTATTTATTTTATTAAGTTTACGCAATAATGTTAATTTTAATTCTTAAACATAAATTACAAAAATTAGTTCATAAAAATAAAAACTTTCAATAAGTTGTAATGTAATGCTATAACAACCCCAAATAATTGTAATTTGTAAATTTATATAAATAGTTACTGAAAAATACACGGATGTTTAAATTTAACTATAATTCGTATAATATATTATTAATATTAAAATTTATATAATAATATAATTCGAGTTTATAATAATTTAACATATGACTTCAAAATAAGTCAATTCTATATTGTTAACTCTACAGCAATGTCAATCTTATTGGAATGCTATGTCTATAACTAGTTGTCTCGCTAGGGTAAATCCAGGGTAAATTTTGTAATGTAATTTATGCTAAAGTATAACTACCGTGTTTGCGATATGTTAACAATGATCAAGGTAACAGAAATCACGTCCCTTTATAATAAGAGTGAGGAACGTACTGGTCTATAACAATGCGGTTATTATGTTTAACATTAATCTATGGAATTCTTAAAGAATCACCAGAATTTTGGTTTAAAATGTTTGTGTGACAAACATAATGTGCAAAGTTTGTGCCTTAACAGTATTACACCGGTCGATTATAATCGGTCGATAGTTTGCAATCTTGACAAACGTTCTATTCAATCGTATATAATTAATTAATAATATAATATTAATTTAGATTAATCCACCCTGTTAGTAAATAATTTACTAAAAATGTAATTTATTTGTGTTTTAATATGTGGGAAACTGTTTATATATTAGGTTATTTGATAAAGTCTTGGCCTACCTCATTTCTATTGTAAATTAAATAATGATATGTATTTAACAATTTTAGTTTACATTCTTAGGCACCAAAAATCAAGTTTAATAAAAAAAATGTATAATTAGTCGTTGTACAAAAAATGTAGCAATATAATGTGCACTTGATATGGTGTCAGTTTTCCTATCTAACAATTGAAATTCAAATATACTCTAAAATAAAATCCATTAAAATAAACTATTAGATCTGCGTTTATATGTTTAAAAGGTATGTATATTTTCTTGTCTACCGACAAGATTTGTGAATAATTAGTTGATTTGTCAATAAATGTGCATATATATTAGTGCACATATAAATGTTTATCACATAAGTGGTGCACTTATATTCAAAAATAAGTGCAAATGTTTTAATGACATAATTTATCAAATTAGTAAAATTTGCTTATAACTGCATTTTTAACCATAATTCAACATTGAATAATGTAATGTATAGAACGTTCATCCCCTTCTTCCCGACTCCCCACCTTATGGGATTTAACAAGGGATAGCAATTTAAGTCTATAGCTATAATTTTACATGGGTAATGCTAATTTTATAAAGCTTTTTCATAAACTTAACATAAGCTAATGTTATACAATGGATAATTTTAATTTAATTTGAGATCATTTCCTATGGGAAAAGGTAGTTTTTGCAATGTTAATCCTATAGGACTAATGTAAAGTTTATGAAAAAATGATTTATCATGTGTTTCTATAAAATTACAGCTAAAGTCTATGACGTAGGCTCATCATGGGCAATGTTAAATTTATCAACATTTCTAACTCAATGGAACTAATGGTTATTCAATGGACTAATGTTAAGTCTATGGACACGGCTAATCTTATAAACTCTTATTAAATGTGTAGATAATGCTAATCTTTTTTTAGGCAATACCCGAATTGTGGTTAACGTATTGCATCGCTGTGTGTAAATGGTTTATATACATGGTAAAACGGTAACTCCAAATTAGTTTTTTAAAATTTATAATTTAATTAAAAAATAATAGTCTTTAGTCAAATAATATGGTTTTTTATAAAATAATTTTAAAAATTCATATTAAAAAGAAATATATCAGTCTTTTAGAAACTTGATTTCTGGTGCCTATAAATATTAACTCAAATAATGAAACCAATTGAATAATTCTATATACACTAGAACATAGGCCAGTCTTTTATCACATGCTCTAATAGTACTTTAATAATAAATGTAATAACACCCAATGTTATACAAACAAAAACATAATTAATTTTTTAGTTTAAAAATAAATGCAATTTCATATTTATGTATTATTTTAGAAATTAACTTAAAATATAAATAATTTATGTATTATTTATTAGATTTAATTGTTAATGATCTTATAGTTGTTCAAGTATATCAATTAAATAATGATTATATATTCTTTTATACGAGTAGTAAGAATAGAATACAATAAAGTATATTCTTGCTCTGAGAATAGTCAAAATATATCATCCAAATATCCTTTAGTTATCGAAATTGAAGTAAGAATTTTAATAATGTATATATTATAATACTGTAAATTTATTTAATTAATTTATATCATTAATTCTTAAATGAATCAGGCACATTTATATGGCATGTTTTTATCGTTTGTACAACATATTATATGTGCCATAAATGTGTCAATTAAATTTGTTAATCGAATAAATATTAATGTGGTAATGTATAATTTGAAACATATTGAAACTTTATAAATCATGAATAATTAAACAAATGATTTTCTTTGCAAATTTATAGTTTGACGTATCATTTGTCCTTCATTCAATGTTTCAATATGTAAAAGAATTAATTGACGAATTTGTCTTAGTCTATAATGAAGAAACGTATTTGATCGAGATAGTTTCCGGGTTGCGATTAAATCGTGATGTATCATTGTTTGGTATATTGAAAATATTTCATTATAAGGTATCAAATATTTTTAAATTAAATAATTAATATAGACAAGATTTGGATGCGTTTTGGATGCATTAATCATTAAAAAAAGATTTTTTGTGCGAAATAAAAATAGAATTGAATTAATTTTCTTAACTCTTATACACAATGCATTCAACAGTAACTTAATTTCAATGATTAAAGTTGTGTTCAAAGAAATGAATCAAACATTACTTGTATATAAAGTTATGTTTTTCTGTAACTAATGCAACCAAAACTCCAAATCTTGTCTATAATAATTAATGCTACAACGAGTCTAAAATAGCTATAAAGTGATAGTCAAGTAATGTTTTTGAATAACTATAAAAATATAACAAATGATAGCTCTGTAAATATCTAGAAGGGTAACATAAGAATTATTATTAACTATTTAATCTATTTATTTGTATCGCGTAGTATATTTCACAATGTGATTTTAAACCACAATCAATTTATAAACAACTCACACACAGCGATGACGTTAACCACTATTCGGGAAATGCATCAAAAATTTTAAATTTTTCAATACGTTTATTAGAATACTTTCTCTATTGTTATTTTGAAAATTTTAAATGTTTTTGACAAGAATTAGTTTTATTTATTATGGCAGATTCATTTTGTATAGATCCATAGAAAAATCATTATTCTATTGAAATAACGTTACTCCCATAGACTTAGCATTACCCATGTTATCCATATGCCATAGACTTAGCATTACACATGTTATCCCTATGCCATAGACTTAACATTGTCCATAGGATTAGCATTACCATAAACTTAGCATTACCTATGTTAAAGTATAGCTATAGACTTAAGCTGTAATCCAATGGTAAATCCCATAGAGCGAGGGGCGGAAGAAAGTGCCGAACGATCCTATAAACAACATTCTTCATATATGAATCGTAGTTTAAAATGTAACCCTATCTTAACATCTGATATAAGTGATGTGATCTGAAGTTAATCTAACTATTTTGCATTAAAATATACAACTGCACAAAATTTTATAACTGAATTTTCTGATTTTGAGACATGTTATACCATTTAAAAGTTAGAATTTTAAAATAGAATTAAATTATCTAGATGAGTTTTAAATTTTGGGTAATACGTACAATTTTTAACCACTATTCTGATATGAATAATGTGGTTTATAGGATCGGTCGAATAGGACGTTTATAGGAATGTTTCTGAATCACTTTAAGAATACAACAAATAATTACATTCTCTAAATATATAGAAGTGTAATATAAGGTTAATTATTATCTATTTAAGCAATTATTATAGTTTAATAGACTCAAATGTTATATTTAACATTATTAATATTTTTGATATCTTACTAAATACAATATTACGTAAACGATGTTAGGTTTGGATAACAATCGCATTCTTTGCATTTCTTATTATTGTATTAATAAAATGCAAATATCCTGATCACACAATTTTGAAGCATGCAATAATCGACATGTTCAATTTATTAATTAATCAATCAAATAATTTATTTAATAAAATAATAAATTTAAAAACCACTGGAATATCAATGATTGCATTGATTTATATCTGGATTTTAAGTTCACTATTAATAACAATATTTTATTGCAACGAT